AGGAAGCGAATCCACAATCTTCTGATCGTGGTGAGCCTCTAGCCGCTTCGCCACGGAAACGTCCCGCCATTCTTAATACAGTTCACAAAAGAAATCAGTCAAGAGCATAACGGAAAAACAAAATCACATTAGTAGAAATGATGGAAAGGCTGGAATATAAAAGATCTAACAAACCTTGTGCAATGAGCTGCGGTAATTAGGTAATACTGTCCAGCCAAGTTCTTCACTAAGTTAGCGCCACAGCGATGAGATGTTGGTGTGGAAGACAGTCTCAAACTGCACTGTAAAGGAAACAGTTCGAATTCATTTGGTGCGAATATACAGATAATGCCAGTTTCAGAAATAAACATATTTAATTATGAATATAACATATTTTGTGGTGTGTACGTCGACCTGGCGTAAAAGTCGACCTCACGATTTTTAGCTCACAATTCTGAATTATTTCTACACCTACTGAAGACTTTTTATACTCTTAGAATTGGATAATTTTTTTTTTTAAATTAAGTTTGAAAAGTTTACCAAAATTTGTGTACAGATTTCCGTGTGTGCAGCCAAAATTAATGTGGACTGTTAGTTTGGCCAGATAAGAATTCAGAAAGACGCATAATTACTATAAAATGATTACTAGAACACATTCATAAGTTAATGTCTTTTAGGAGGAGAAAGAGGAGGAGAAAAGGAGAAAGGATACAGAGGAGAAGAAGAAAAAAATGAAAGCTGGAAGAATATATATATATATATATATATATATATATATATATATATATATATATATATATATATATATATATTTGTGTGTGTGTATATGTATAAATACTCAAGGTTTTGAGGTTTTGAACAACGGATCAACATCATGGCACAAGGGTAATAACCCATAAGTGCTCAGTTCTTCTACTAACTCAAATCTGAATCTGAAGTAGCTCAGCACAGTGCACAGGCTCTGTGGCACCGGCAAGGATCCTGAAATATCCTTTGGGTAGATTTTTAAACCCTTGGCAGCGCCGTTAGGCTACTCTTTTCGATTTCCAACTGCAAAGGAATTTTTTTACGTGCGCCACGATGCATACGGGCGTCCGATCTCACTACCCAGAGACCAGAGGGAATTACTAGAAGTCCAGGTCCATTTGAAAAATTACCAGCCCTTACCGGGGATTGAACCCGGAACCTCTAGCACTCAAAGCGGACACCATGCCTCGAGACCACACAGCCCCATATATACTCGTGTGTGTGCGTGTATGTATGTATGCAAATGTGTGTGTACGAATGGATGGATGTATTTTGTATGTATGTACACACACGTACCTACGTACGTGAGTATGTCTGTCTGTCGGCTGCCTGGATTTCTCTCTGTCTGTCTTATAGAAATAGACTAGCTGGGAGCTTCCTTCGAAGTCGAAATGCATCCAAAGAACCAACAGCCGGCATATACACAAGCCAAATCTGTCAAACAGATGTGCACAAAACACTCTGGTTCTGGAACAATACTAAAGTCCGGGTGTGGACGAATAGCCAAAATGTTCCTCAGGAACAATGAAAGCAAATAAGGATATATATATATATATATTTTGGCTATCCTCCGACTAACGGTCGGCAAAGATGGCGGCCGCAAAATATCCTTTCGAGCCACAGTCACGCGAATTAATTTGCGGTTCTTCGGCGGGTTTCCAGCGACTACCGCCAACACCACGTGTCCCCCACGCCGCTCACGCGGCGTGGAATGGGGCTAAACTATATGGCTAGGACCCACGAGCAGCGGCAGCGGTGTGCTCGTGACCGCTAGTGCGCAATTGACTCGTGACTGTGGCTCGAATGTTTTGCGGCCGCCATCTTTGCCGACCGTTAGTCGGAGGATAGCCATTTTTTAATGTACTTTGTGACTAGTAGTACCGACAACTTTTCTTCTAATGGAATGGATGACGGTTGAGAACTTGGCTTATGTTGACCGTTTTCGTATCTGTTTCTCCTCCAGTTTTAATTTTGCAAGATTGTGGAATTCCAGTTTGCAGCTGGAGCTACTGAGTTTGGTGCTCCTGGCGGCACTATGAGCTGTGATTATCAGTTATTGACTGAGTTCCAGATTCGTACATAATGGGTTTAATGGGTGATGTATTTGTCTTCCCTGTGTTCCTGGGACAAGGCGTGTGCTATAGCTGCTATTTTTGTGCTGGCAGTGGCTGCAACTTGGCCGAGGACATGGGAGAATGGTCAGAAATAGTTTTAATCTACTCATCGCCCAGCTTGTCGTCGAATGAAGCTGATTTTCAGCGATGACGCCTGGTCTCGCAGTGTGTTTATGGAGGCATGCACCTTACGGTTTGCCAGATCACAACGTGTGTGTTTTGCTGACTGATGACACTTTTTATGGCTACGGCATTCACTTGAAGTGTATCTGACGCAGTTTGTGACTGCAATCACTGGCATAGGCGGTTGAGCAAATATTGGCCAAGCTCGATTGCCGTGATGCCGGAACCGCAACGACTAACTAACTAACTTCTAAAAAAAAAAAAAAAAAGCCCTGCAGACAAGACATAAACTCACAATGGCTGGCCAGGAGTAAGGTACTGTGACCGCTCCACCAACGATCTTCGAAATCTTGGACAGTTCAGCGACGCCATTGTTGGGCACCAGAGGGCGCTGACCACATCCTGCAGCATCAATTTTGTCGAACTGGCTGCAATCAGAGAGGGAACACAAGGATTATACAATGAAAGCACAAATGGTTTTTAAAATTCAACAAGCTATACCAACAGATTCATATTGCTCCAAGTACAGGACAGAGACACATACATATTTTGGTAGCATGTTCATTCCTGAAAAGATAACAGCACAGCAAATATAGAGAGTGGTCTTTCTGACGAATGCTTAGTTGATTATATAAGCAACGTTAGCGCAGTCGATAGGAGACTCGCTTTCAAATCCAGCTGCGACTCGCTGCAGCCCACGGCCAGTGTTCGAAACCAGACGGTTTCCGGGGTTCACCCAGGTAATGGGTACCAGAATTAATACTCTTTGGTAAATGGAGGAACGTCTCTGTAGCTATGGAGTTGCGTGCGGACGGCGACACAGGCGGACATTTTCTTATCAGCTGTCCGTATTGGTTGCAGAGCATTTATGGTTTATATCCGTGTGCAATGACGCTGGTTTACATCTCCGGACTTTACCTTTACTGTTAACCTTAAAGACAAGCACTCTGTGGACTTGGCGAAACATCTGATTCACTTAGGCTCTTCAGTAGAACAATCTGTCCTGTAGTGGATTCCAAAACGCTGTAGCTTGAAAGGCAATGAGAAGCAGACAGGCTGGCCAGAAGCGACTGCGACATGATGCAATCAAATTGTGATCGAACCCGATAGGAACTTAAGACATTAATGCAATTTAGTATCAAGGAAAGATGGTTGAATATCCACGCCACATTGTCTCCCTAAGATTCGCTTCATCGCTCGTCTAAAAATGGACAATGTTTTACATTCAGAATAATGACTGGGCACAACACGCATCACCTACATACGTGATAGTTTTTCGTTGTGGGAAACATGGAGATGTGTCCGTGCAACTTGGCAAAAGGAAGTGCTAAGGATGTGGTAAACTATATACTGCGAACAGAGAAGCAGTCTGGCCTGTTTCAACCTCAATGGACAAAACGTTATCGTAACGAGAGATTGTGACTGCACGATGCTTGTGCCAAAGCTGACTCTTAGTGTAAATTTTCTGACAGAGGAAGAAATAAGAAAAAGAAGGAGGAGGAGGAGAAAGATAAGAAGGAGACGAAGATGATGATGAAGAAGAAGAAGAAGAAGAAAGAAAGAAAGAAAGAAAGAAAGAAAGAAAGAAAGAAAGAAAGAAAGAAAGAAAGAAAGAAAGAAAGAAAGAAAGAAAGAAAAGAAAGAAAGAAAGAAGAAAGAAAGAAAGAAAGAAAGAAAGAAAGAAAGAAAGAAAGAAAGAAAGAAAGAAAGAAAGAAAGAAAGAAAGAAAGAAAGAAAGAAAGAAAGAAAGAAAGAAAGAAAGAAAGAAAGAAAGAAAGAAAGAAAGAAAGAAAAAGAAAAAGATAAAGGAAGAGCAGAAGGAGGGGGAGAAGCTAAAAAAGAAGCATTAAAATCACACGCGTAGGTTCCACAGTATGCTTCAACGAATTATCTTACAATGAAACGCCATTACAGGTAACTGTGCTACAAGAAACAGATGTTACAACGAACGATCTTACAACAGACATAAAACACACACACCATACGACGAAATATCATAACACAAACTTACTCTACACGAACTATTTTAAAACAAACATACATTACAATGAATTATTTTTAACACAGTGAACGCTACAATGAGCAGTAATATAGAAAATGGATGTTACAACGAATTACCTTACAAAAAAAGCAGATACTACATGAAAATATTTTAAAATAAACAGCACGCTACAACGAAATATCTTAAAACGTACGGATATTATAATGAACTGTGTCTTAAGACAAACAGAAGCTACAATGGAATATCTTGAAGTTCCCCAGTTGTTTGCAAAAGACAGATAGATACTACAGCGAACGACCTAAAGAGAAACTGATGTTACAAAGAATGATCTTACCAGAAATGAAAACTATAACGAACAGGTTTTACAAATAAAACAAACATACTGCAATGAACATTGACAAAATAACTAACAGAAGCGATATTATGAGCGAGAGAGAGAGAGAGAGAGAGAGAGAGAGAGAGAGAGAGAGAGAGAGAGAGAGAGAGAGAGAGAGAGAGAGAGAGAGAGAGGAGAGAAAGGAGATCAAGGGAGAAATGGAGGGAGAGACAGATCTGTAGATAGACATAGATAGTTAGATAGGTAGACTGGTAGGTAGGTAGCTAGCCAGACAGACCGACATACAGATCAGTAGATAGACAGACAGGTGGATGGACGGTTGCACATAGATAAATAAAGATAGATGATAGATAGTAGATAGATAGATAGTAGATAAAAGATAGTTTAAAGATAGAGATGATAGATAGATAGATAGATAGATAAAAATAGATAGATAGATAGATAGAAAATAGATGATAGAAATAGAAGATTACTCCAGTTTTATGTCCAAGGAAAAACAGAAAAAAATTGTTTTGATTTGTTTAAAGAACCGACATCACAGACCGGTGCATCCCATAAGCGTCCGTCCCATCTTCAGCAGCCCAAGTTCCGATACTAATGGTGCCCGTAGCTTCGATTTAAAATTTCCCCTTTTCCCTTTCCCCTGAGTTTGAGCTTCTGCCAGAACCCTCGCACCCCCAAAGCATCAATCTCACCCCA